AGCATTTCTGCCGTGTTTGGAGGGCTCGGTGCTGAGGTGGGTGATGGTTTTACTCTGAGGGGATGTGGGGAGCCGGGTGTGCTTCCCATCCCGGCTGAGCTGCTGCTGAGGAGCCGCGGGTGTGCGGGACAGAGGGAAATGGAAATGAGGGACAGAGCGTGGTCAAACAGCGCCTTTGAGCCCCAGGGATGCGATCCCCGCTGCCCAGGAGGGGCCTTTCCCCTCGGCTGCAGCCTGGGAAAGGCTCGGAGCAGCTCCGCAGAGTTTCCAGGGCTCAATGCAGTTGGAATGACCCCTCAGCAGCGGAGTGACACCTGCAGGGACACTTCCTGCCAGGGTACCAGGCAAAAACCTGAGCCAGTCCCAGAGAAAAGCTTTCCAATCCCTGGGGACGGAGCCTCTGGGCCGAGGGTGATGGGGAGGATGAGGAAGGAGCAGGCAGGGATGTGGCAGGAGAAGCCGGGCTGTGCTGTTGTTGGAGCAGAGCTGCCGTGCGGAACGGGGGGTGACAATCCCTGCGGCTGTGCCATCCCAGGGGTCCGTGGGGCAGGGAGGTTCCATTCCCAGCTCTGATGGGCCGGGCTGGCACTTCCTTCCCCGGCTTTTCCCTGCCGCTGGATTGGGCAGCAGCTCCGGGGATGCTGCTCCAGGGATGCTGCTCCAGGGATGCTGCCCCGCTCCCGGAGAGCCCCGCCGGGATCCTCGGGACGGAAAAGCCTAGTCAAGGGAAATGTCAGCGCTGCCCCACGCTGTTGTGGTGGCTCGGGGTATTTTTAACACGGTGGCGGGGCTCCGGGCGGTGTTTGCCGTGATTCACAGGCGCGTTCCGCGCTCGCCAGCCCGGCGCAATCTGGCGCGGCCGCGGCTCCCGCTGCGCAGGGAAATGTCACCCGTGGATGGTGCCAGGCAGGGACAGCTGAGCTGAGCCCAACCCGCCTGCAGAGCCGGCTCTGGGCTGAGGTGCCCGGGCCCTTGGCACCGAGCCGGGACAGCTCTGCTCGCTGTGCCCAGGCTGCTCCCTGGACACGGAGCCTGTGAACGGCTGAAGTCGAGCTCAAATGAGTCCTTGAGCCACGAACAGAAAGGCGGAGCTGTCCCTTGTCCCCACAAAACAAACCAGGGCCCCGTGGCTGTACGTGGCTGTGACTGTCCTGCCTTGGGGTTTTGGGGACCTGGGTGATCTCGGTGGGTTTGTTCAGCTCTGCTGCCCCAAAATCTCCTTCCTGCCCCTTTCCCATCCCATTGCCCRGGGAGGCCTCTCCAGTGGCCAGGCCAGGCTCTGCTGCAGCCCAGCTTTGGGCACCACATCGGTGTGATGCTCYTTGGCTTTAAAGGAACTCAAAGATTGGACAGACCTTCAGGCCTTGTTTGGGGAAAAAGGCAAGGAAAAGGGGGCAGCTCTGGGCTGGGAGGGAGGAGCTGTGTGAAGGGCACTGGGGTGGCTGCAGGGGACAGGGTGGCTCCAGGGACAGGGCACAGCAGCAGATAAACTCTGGCACTCTCTGTGTGCCATGGGCAGTGATCTGTGGGAGCAGAACCATCGCTCCACATCTGCAGAGCACGAGGGAGGCTCAGCAGGGAGAGCACGATCTCTGTGCTGATGAAAACCGGGACAGGACGGAASAGAGCTGATTTCTAATCAGCTGCTGTGGCCAGGAGAGGGATCCTCAGAGACCCGAGGCTCCTGCTTTGCCCTCTCTGATGGCTGCTCCATTCCTCGGCTGATCTGACTTCCCACTGGAATTTTCCTGCTAGAACGGTGATTCCACAGCATCAGGATAAACCCCTGGGAGCTGTGGCAGTATTTGGGAGGCAGAGCTGGGGCTCAGGGATGGAATGACACCCTTGTGACCCGAACAGCACCAAAGGGGCTGCTGGCCCGGCTCTGGGCAGGTGGGTGTTGGGGACAATCCCTGCTGGGAGCTGTCTGGGGTAGGGAAGACCAAGCTCCCATCCCGGTGTTGGCGAGTGCTGAGCACAGACGGGTGGCCAGGACGGGCTTTGCTGCCCTCACCATTCCCAGCACCCTGCGAGCACCCCTCCCAGCCTGAGGGACCCGCGGGGGCTGCTGCCAGCTCAGCTGCAGGGCTGAGCCGCTGCATTGTCTGCGAGCCCGCAATTAGTGCAACGGAAGCACAAAAAGCTCTCAGTGCCCCGTTACTTAGAGACAGCCCATCGATTTTCCTGGCAGCTGTGYGCTCCAGGCACGTGTGTGTGTGTCTGTGTGTCCGTCTGTCTGTCTGTGTGGCTGACAGACCTCCACGTGCCTCCTCCTGGCAGATGGATCCACACACGAGCGTTTGCTTGGTGGCATTTTGTGTTTTTGTGGGGTTTTGTTGGTTGGTTTCTTCTGTTTCGGGTGGCAGAGGAGAAGCAGGTGTTGAATGGCAAATTGCAGACAAATTCCTGCTCTGCTGGAGGAGCCAGTGCTGGACTCGGGCCCTCCCAGTGCGACCAGTTCACAGCTGGTGCTGGGGCTCTCTGTACTGGTG